GGCCCCCAGGCTGTGGAGACGGGGCCTTTCAGCCAGTGGCCCCCAGGATGTGGAGACGGGGCCTTTCAGCCAGTGGCCCCCAGGATTTGGAGACGGGGCCTTTCAGCCAGTGGCCCCCAGGATTTGGAGACGGGGCCTTTCAGCCAGTGGCCCCCAGTCTGTGGAGACGGGGCCTTTCAGCCAGTGGCCCCCAGGCTGTGGAGACGGGGTCTTTCAGTTAGTGGCCCCCAGGCTGTGGAGACGGGGCCTTTCAGCCAGTGGCCCCCAGGCTGTGGAGACGGGGCCTTTCAGCCAGTGGCCCCCAGGCTGGGGAGACGGGGTCTTTCAGCCAGTGGCCCCCAGGCTGTGGAACAGTTTGACCTGCAGCTTCGTTCTGCTGACTCTGTTGAGGTTTTTAAAAAACAACTGAAAACACTTTTGTTCTCTCATGATTTTATTGTGCTTCTTGTAGTTCTTATGCTTGTTTTTATTCTCTGTATATTTTAGCGCTGATTTTTATTGTACACCACTTTGCGAGTTTATGTCTGTGATAAGCGCTTTATAAATAAACTACTTTTTACTTTGTGCTGCCTTGATTCTCTTAAAACTTAAAAAGCAGCTGAAGTCACATTTGTTGAGACCGGCCTTTAATTAGTTTTATTCTGTCTTATGTCATACGTATACATACGTATGACATAAAAAGATAAAACAACATGTTGTTTTATTTTTCTTTCTGTTTTATATTTTGTGTTTTTATGTCTTGTATTCTATAAAGCACTTTGTGGTTTCACCATTGTTGAATATACATACACTAAAGGGGAAATTATGTTTATGGTTATTGTATCATGCACATGAGAAACACGAGTAGACTACTGTCTACTAAACTAGACTGAAATTTAATATGTGGATAAAAAACTCATTCACCAGCAAAACATGCAATAAAATAAAAAATCTGTGACTGTGAGAAATATAGCTGTGAACATTTGTTTTAAAATTTCACGTGAAGTGTCTTTTCTTCATGTGTCTGGTGTATTTTTGTTGTAGCGTTACAGCACCTCATATTCAATTCAATTTATTTATATAGTGCCAAGTCACAACAGAAGCCTGTATGAAGGTGACAGAATTCATGCACAGTCCATCACTGCTCCACACGCACGACCCCATCACCTCACTCAGGCCTCTAGCTATGACCTCACTCCACCGAGTGCTTCGAGGAAGGAGAGTATTATATAAGGCGATGGGCCAAGGGTTCATGTCAGGGTCCGAGTCCAGTGTCAAAGGTCAAGGTCAGGGCTTTTATGGTCAGTGTTGGCAGTCAAACAGGGTTAGGCTTAGGGTCAGAGGTCTGGGTTAGGCTTGGCTGTTGGAGTTAAGTTTAGGGTCAAAGGGTGGGGTTAGGGTCAGGGTTTGGTTTACAGTTAAAGGTCAGGGGGTTAGGTTTGGGTCAGGGTTGGGTTTGGTTTAGGGTCAGAGGTCATACAGGCCTGGCATAGTTACTGCAGAGTTTGGGTTTTCTTTGTTTTAGCAAGCATTTCTAGAAACAGTGGTATTCATACAGAAAAAAATAATTTTGATGAAACAGTGTTCCCCTGTGGGTGGAGACCAGAACTCTGAACGACTCTCAGAAGGGAGGGAAGAGAAAGTGATTTGTCTGTGAGTTCAGCTCACAAAAAGCTGCTGCAAGTGTCACCTTTCATTCAGGCTTTTATTCACGCCCCAAAGTTAACCACAGTTGTGGTCACTGGTTCATCTGGGCGGCTGTGGCTGAGTGGTTAGAGCAGTCGTCCTCCAATGCAAGAGTTGGGGGTTCGAATCCACCAGCAGTCACATGTCAAAGTGTCCATGGGCAAGACACTGAACCCCTCATCGCCTCTGATGTGTGTCCCATCGGTGTATGAATGTGATAAAGCTCTGATTAGTCTCTTTAGAATGATTTGTTTAATTAGCTTTGTAGATCTAGTATAGAGCTGTATGAATGGGTAAATGAGGCACAGATTGTTGTAAAGAGCTTTGAGTATCTTGATAAGATAGAAAGGAGCTGTGTAAGTACAGTCCATTCATGTATTTGTTACGTCTAGACTGGACTATTGCAACGGTTTATTATCTGGGTGTCCAAATACTTCTTTAAAACGTCTTCAGTTGATCCAAAATGCTGCTGCCAGAGTCTTAACTGGAGTTACTGGGAGAGATCATATCTATCTCTCCAGTTTTAGTTTCTCTCCATTGGCTCCCTGTCAAATCCAGAATAGAATTCAAAATCTTACTTCTAACCTACAAAGCTCTCAACAACCTAGCTCCATCCTATATTTGAGATCTTTTTGTTTCATATTTACTAACAGAGCACTTCACTCTCAGGCTGCAGGTTTACTTGTGGTTCCTAGAGTTTCCAAAAGCAGAATGAGAGGAAGATCTTTCAGTTCTCAGGCTCCTCTCTTGTGGAACCAACTTCCAATCTCTGTCCGTGAGGCTGACACATTGTCCAGTTTTAAAACTAGACTTAAGACTTTCCTTTTTGCTAAATCCTATAGTTAGGGTCGGCTTGGGTTTCCTGAGCTGTCCCTTAGTTTTTCTGCTATAGGCTTATAGACTGCTGGAGGACAAACTGACCACACTTTTCACTCTGCTGCTGTCTTTACGTACTCTGCTCAACCTGTGTGTATTTGTAATTATTTCTATCTTAACGTTTTGTTTTTTTTGTCTTTCCTTCTATAGAAAGTACACCTGCACCTGCCATTCTGTGTTTGTTTCTCCTTCCTGTTCCTCTCAAACTCCACCCCTCATCCTGAGCCTGGTTCTGCTGGAGGTTCCTTCCTTTCAGAAGGGAGTTCTTCCTCTCCACTGTCTCCTTTGTGCTCGCTCAGGATGGGAGACTGTGATGAAGTGAAGATTCAACTCAATCTGCCTCTTCCTTAGATAGAGAACTTTTACTAATTGGTTTTTTAATGCATGTAAATATTTTTGTTCAGTGCCCTGAGACAACGTCTGTTGGGATTTGGTGTTATATAAATAAACTGAATTGAACTGAATTATTTGGTGATTACACCAGAAGAAAATACATCTTTATAGAACTTTGAAATTAAATCAACACGATGATGCCAAAGATATATAATTATAATTATAAACATATGATGTCATCAACCAGCAAAATAAAAGTATTTCATTTTGACTGTGAATACAGTTTTCAGTTTTCGGATGGTGAATTATGAGTACAAAACAAACCAAAATTCATATTAATTTTGCACAAAGCATGTTTAGTGTTTGTGAAGATAAGCATGGTCCACAGAGAGAATGCCTTAAAGACAGACCAGATGTAGTGTCTGACCTGCAAAGCGTCCAAGGGGGATACGGGACATCATGGTTTTGGCTTTCTCTGGGTCACTCCAGCCCAGACGACCCATCTGTGTCATGACCACTGTAGGGTTCACAGCATTCACACGGATCTGGTAACACAGCACAAGCACTTCATCTGAGACAGCTACAACAAAGAAAGTGTGCTGTTAAGATCAAACCTTTTTGTAATACCAAACACCTGCTCCTTCATTACATCACGAGCTGTAAGAACCATTGAGGAGAAAGTAAGAAAATATATTTTTTAATTATCAAAGATAAAAATTAGCATAGTTGCAGCTGTGATGGATTTATTACAATAACTTATTGGATTATATCATAACAGAAACAAGTTATTTCTTTTCTTTGTTTTAGTTCATTTTCCAGCTACAGGGTCTTAAAGGGAAAGTTCAAATCTTTTGAAATGGGGTTCTGTAAAGCAGCAATGAAGAATTTATATTTTCCCTGTTGTAAATAGCTCTAACTTTTATTTCTGACCTTATTGACAATCTGGCAGGTAGACCAAACAGGACCAAGACCAAAGTGTAATGCTGCCATTCTTCCCAAAGTTTCCCAGCAGTTCATGTGAGCACTTTTATAAACTTAATATTGCCTTTAATTTCACATTATACAGTTCTTTATATCAAATTCTGTATTTGTTTAAATTCAAATATGCCGCAGCAATTAGCTGTAGCATTTCTCATACAGCCTGAGGCAGATTAGGCAGCAGTTTTGTAGCATTTCTCTTGTATTAATGAGTAATGCAGGTGATCCACCACAGGAAGGCTTCAAGCCAGCAGTGAGGGTAGTCACTGAGCAGAGTTGGCAAGTAGAGAAAAACTGATTTAAGATGACCAATTGTAATCATCTGAAATCAACCACAACTGAGAAATCAACAATCAGCCATGCCTGTGCAGCTGATACAGCCAGCTCACTGTGGCCCAATTAAAAAATACAAATAGAATGCTCTCCTATATATTCTTTTAAAGTGTGCAAGTTCTTCTAATGATGTTATATATTCAGTTCAATATAAAAAAGTGCTAAGTGTTGTCATCATTGTATGGGAAAATACACACACACACACACACACACACAAACACACACACATACATACATACATACACACATACATACACACATACATATATATATATAATATATATACATATATATATATGTGTGTGTGTGTGTGTGTGTGTGTAGGTAAAACATAAAAATGTTTAAATACTCATATCAGTCAACCTCTACTGGCATGTGTATTGCTGAGATGAGATGTGGCATGAACATTCTGATTAACGTCACTTGGGCCCAGTCAGTCACTCCAAAGTTTTTGACGTGGTCATCCATGAAACACTGAAGAGGTCTACTCACCTTTTGTGTTGTACAGTATTTTAGTGAAACTTGCCAGACTGGCAATGACTCTTAAGTCATTAATAAACTGAAGCTTGAGAAAAGAAGTACCTGGTAAGGTCCCAGCTCCAGAGCCATTACTTTAGTCAGCATGTCCACTGCTCCTTTTGTGGCACCTGACAGAAACAACACCAACTGTCACAGGGCTGCAACTGTACAGGATTTTATTTTAATATTAAAATTACAGGAAACAAGACTGAGGGAAATTAAAATCCTCCACTAACTTTTAAGAGACTTTGGAAACTTATTTGCGGATCTCGTTCGCAAACTAATCACCAACAATCACAGTCTAGAGAGATACTGACTTACCGGTAAATGAATATTCTGCTTAGTTCTGAAGGGATGTTTCTGTCTAATAGATATCAATGGTAAATAATTTATCAGCTATGATGATCACATGGAGAAAAGGGCAAACGTTTTTATCCAAGCTAGGCTAATGGCTAGCTAAACGAAGGCCCATTTTATATTTAAAACAACTTTCTCAAAAATAACGTACTGGTGTGAAAGCACTCTACAACAATTACTTAGCCAACATCGTGAATTAAATAATTCACAGTGCTGAAGTGAGTGATTGCCAAGAAAGAGTCTGACTCAACACATTTAGCTTTGCTTGTCTCATTTGGCTCAATCTCGATAAAGCCAATTTTCTTTGTTTGTACCTTTTCTACAACACACTATTTAATGTCTCTAGGAGGTCCTTTAGCATTTCCCACTGAGGAATTCTGCGAACAAATCAGAGGGACCCGGCAGACAAAACATTGTGTTATCATTTCAGGACTCTTGGATTTGCTCTGGCGTTGCCCTTGGTCGACCTCGGCACCCCTCGAGCATGTTTATGGATCTCATTAGAGGGAGTTGACTGATTAAACTATTCTTATTAGAAATCCTACAGAGCTTCTGGAATGTCCTTGGACACACTCACCACCCTTGTCATCTCCCCTCCCCTGCGGAATGTCTGCGTCACTGTGTGCCTATGTGTGGGGTGTTTTTTTTTATTTCAGGCTATCTCTCCTCAGCCAAGGAGTGAGAGTCTGTTAGGACCCCCCACCACCACCACCACCACCACCACCACCCCACCTCCCCTCCAAATCTTATTCATGTGTCACGTTCATTAGTTTTTGTCTGTCTAAACAGGTCTCTCTTGTAAATGAGTCCATGAGGCTCAGTGTGATTTATTTGTATAAATAAAGGTTGAATAGAAAAAAAAAGAAGCCACAGTTGACAAAACTTGAGAAAACGCTGGAAAAAAACTCTAGAAATGCTGTGCACAAGTAAGGCTGGTTACAGGTATACTATTACCATTGTGGGTTTTCAGTTTGGTCTAATCATGTGGTCCCCCCTCGACTACTAAAGGAAGTTTTTCCTACCCTGGGTCCTTTTATTCTCGCTATTCTGAATAGCAGTTTATCCTCAGGTGTGGTGCCAAAAACTTTTAAACATGCTGCTGTCCAGCCCCTCCTGAAAAAACCTAACCTTGACCCCTCAGTCATGTCCAACTTCCGGCCTGTCTCCAGACTCCCATTCACCTCTAAACTACTGGAAAAAATTGTGGAGTCTCAGTTGAAACAGTTTTTGGGGGATCACGCTATCCTAGAGTTATTCCAATCTGGCTTCAAATCTCTCCATAGCACTGAAACTGCTCTACTGAAGGTTTTTAATGACATTTTCATATCCACAGACGCAGGTGATTCTGTGCTGCTTGTCCTATTGGACCTTACATCTGCTTTTGACACCATCGACCACAACATCCTCATTTCTAGACTGGAGCAGTGGGTGGGCATCACAGGGCCAGCCCTTAAATGGTTTGGGTCCTACCTCTCTGACAGAACCTTCTGTGTCAATATCAAAGATTTTAGTTCGGCATCAACAGCGCTCCAGTGGGGGGTACCGCAGGGGTCCATCCTCGGTCCCCTTCTCTTTTCTTTATACCTGCTGCCACTAGGTGCTATCTTCCACAAACACGACATACCCTTTCATTTCTATGCCGATGATTGCCAAATTTACTTCCCCCTGAGGCACAGAGGCACACGCTCTATTCAGCCTCTTCTTGACTGCCTGGCTGACATCCGGGACTGGATGGCTTTAAACTTCTTAAGCTTCAATGAGAAGAAGTCTGAAGTCATGCTGTTCCATCCCAGTGGCTCACTCATGAACCATGACATTGACCTTTTCTCTCTAGCCCCGCTAGAGAAACAAAAGGTCACTAATCTGGGGGTGATAATGGACCCGTCCTTAAAACTTAACAGTCACGTAAACATGATGGTCAAATCCTGTTTTTTTCAGTTGAGACGGCTGTCTAAGCTGAAGCCTATACTCTTCAAAAAGAACATTGAGACAGTGATCCACGCCTTCATAACATCTAGGCTTGATTACTGCAATTCACTTCTGTTTGGAATCAGTCAGTCCTCCATTGCTCGTCTACAACTGGTCCAAAATGCTGCAGCCCGATTTTTAACTGGTACAGGCTATAGAGAGCACATCACGCCAGTTTTGGCCTCCCTGCACTGGCTACCCATTCACCTTCGGATCCAATTCAAAAGTCTCATGTATGTTTTTAAATCACTGAACAGTTCCGCCCCATCCTATCTCACTGATCTTCTGCAGCCATATGTCCCACCGTGCTCTCTGAGGTCAGCAGACCAGATGCTTCTCTCAGTCCCAGAAACCCGTCGTAAGCTCAGAGGTGACAGGGCTTTCTCTGTTGCAGGTCCACGACTGTGGAATGAGTTGCCACTGAGTGTCCGGCAGGCTCCCACACTCTCGGTCTTTAAGTCTCGCTTGAAGACCCACTTCTATTCTCTTGCCTTTAACACGTTGTGATTTGTTTTGGTCTGGTCTGTTCTCTACTCTGTTGGCCATTTTAGTTAGCTTCTGCTGCTATTTGTATCTGTATTTCTATTTTATGTTTTCCTGTCCGCTGTGCATGTTTTTTTTCTTTTGTACAGCATTTTGGTTGGCCTTGTTGCTGTTTTAAGTGCTCTATAAATAAATTGGTATGGTATGGTAATCAGAGTCAGAGATTCTTTATTGTCATTCGCACCACATGTGGTACATGTGGTGGAGCGAAATTATGTACACAGGGTCCCACTTACATCCAACAATAAAATGTATAAGAAAAATAGTAATAACATCTAAGTTATGAACTAAGATAAACATCAGCTAAAAATACACTACGTACTAATAGCATAAAAAGATAACGTTGAACATCAGCACGAACATGAGTCTGTGTGAGCAGATGAGCACGAATGAACACATCAACATTGAAACAGATCAGCAGCAACATGCTGTGATTTTTCACAGTGATTCTCCTGGTTAGATATTCATGAGTCTAACAGCCTCAGGGTAGAAGCTGTTCCACAGTCTAGTGGTTTTACACTTAATGCTCCTCAACCTCTTTCCTGAGGGGAGCAGGGCAAAAAGTGTGTGTGCTGGGTGAGTGGGGACATTCATGATACAGGATATAGGTGTGTTTGTTCCTTCTGAAGTCCACAATCATCTCCTTTGTCTTCTTCACATTGATGTGAAGGTTATTCTCTTTGCACCAGCTCTCCAGGTGTTCCATCTCTTGCCTGTAGCTGGGATCATCATTGTTTGTGATGCATCCCACAACCGCTGTATCATCTGCAAACTTTACAATATGACAGCCTGGATGGGTAGGTGCACAAGCATATGTGAGCAGAGTAAATAGGAGAGGGCTCAACACACATCCTTGAGGAGAGCCAGCGCTGAGGGTTATGGTGGAGAAGGAGAAGTTGTGGATCCTCACTAACTGTGGTCTGTTTGTTAAGAAGTCCAGTACCCAGTTGCAGATGGAGGGGCTTAGTCCTAGTGTGAATAGTTTGTCCATCAGGGTTTGGGGGATCATGGTGTTTAAGGCAGATGTGAAGTCCACAAAGAGCATACGGATGTAAGAGTCTTTCTGCTCCAGGTGGTTGAGCGCAGTTTGGACCACAGAAGAGATGGCATCCTCTCTTGATCGATTTTCGCGATATGCATACTGATGAGGGTCCTCGTTGATGTTGATGGTTGTTTTGATTTGGGTCATGACCAATTTTTCGAAGCATTTAGCGACTATTGGGGTGAGGGCCACTGGCCGATAGTCATTCAGACCAGTCACTGTAGAGCTTTTTGGGACTGGGATGATGGTGGCAGTCTTCAGGCAAGTGGGAACTGTCTCCAGGGTAAGTGAGGTGTTAAAGATTTATGCCAGCACCTCGCAGAGCTGATCGGCACATTCTTTCAACACTTTTCCGGAGATGTTGGCTAGGCCGGTTGCCTTGTGTGGATTAATCCTCCTGAAAGTACTCCTTACTTCTGCTGAGGTCACGCTGAGATGCTCTTCATCCGGTGGTGAGGTGAGTCTGGTGCTGGGTGGTCTGTTCGGGTCTTCAAAGCGTGCATATAACTTGTTGAGGGCATCAGGCAGAGATGGGTCTTTGGGGCATTGTTCGCTCCTTCCTTTATAATCTGTTATGCACTTAATGCCCTTCTACAGGTCCTTCTCAAAAATTAGCATATTGTGATAAAGGTCATTATTTTCCATAATGTAATGATAAAAATGAAACTTTCATATATTTCAGATTCTTTGCACACCAACTGAAATATTTCAGGCCTTTAATTGTTTTAATACTTATGATTATGGCATACAACTCATGAAAACTCAAAATGCCTGTCCCAAAAAATTAGCATATCATGAAAAGGTTCTCTAAACAAGCTATTAACCTAACCATCTGAATCAATGACGTAACTCTAAACACCTGCAAAAGATTCCTGAGGCTTTTAAAAACTCCCAGCCATGTTCATTACTCAAAACCGCAATCATGGGTAAGACTGCCGACCTGAC